AAGTTTTGTCATAACCAGTTCAATAGTTTGAGAAAAATCTAGTATAATGTAAGACGACATCTACAGCGATTCGAGCAAAATTTCTTCGAGAAATCCAAACCAAGCCACATCATGATAGAATATAGTGTGGACCAATAAATGATCAAATATTTATCTCATCTGCCTACAAACAGTTGCATATGATAAAAAAGATGACTTTAGGATGATAAATACTACTAATGGACCTCTTTTTCTGCATTATAAGGTCTCTTTTGGTCCATTTATATCTCTCATTTCTTCAAAATTTCTACTTTTTAGGCCAATAAATAAAAATTTTGGGGTAACTTTCACTCATTTATGATAGAAATGTTATAATAAATGATTAATTGAAGTACTGTAAATTCAGAAATTATTGCGAGGTTTTTATTAATGCGAATAATGCGACTTGGTGATGATCGCAATAATAAGAACTCGCATTCTGATATTTAGTACATATATCTGTATACAGATTTTCCCGAAATCGCAATAATTAATCTACCACTTTTGTTCATTTTTCAAAAATCGTAATAATAAATGCACGCAATAATTTCTGAATTTACAGTATTCAAGCTGAATGAACTATCCGTATAAAAGTTTACTGTCTCCAAGGAGGTTTCAATAAGTACTTACGTAAAACTTAAATTTACGCCGCGTTCCAGAGAGGGACATAAAAAGCTTCTCTTTTGGTGAATAATTTCTTGTTACTGCTTTAAAAATAATTTCATTTACTTAAAACTATATATTTATTAAAGTATTTCTAAGGAAAATTTTTCTAGTATAGCAGAATGTAAGAAATAAGGAGAAAAAGCTCCCCAAAACTCTAAGTATGGCTTGTTCTGTCAACTAATATTCATGGTAAAGTCCTATTTCAAGGAAATTTTCTGATAAAATGTGTTTTGGAGACTCAATCCACTCAGAAAATTTCTTAATTTGTAATATTTCACTTAAATAGCAAGACATTTTAACAAATGAAAGTACTCACAAGGTCAAAGGTGCACGTATAGCTTCCAATACTAGGTGTAATACCACCATTGATTTTCCCCTATTTGTCTTTGTTTAATTTGCACTTTTCAAAAAATTGTGCAGAGTGTATCTTTGTTTCAAATAAAGAAATATTTGGCATTAGTAAAGTTTTATTCTGTTCAGTACTATAGAAAAAATTTCACATAACATTTCATTGCATATAAGAAAATAACCATCACTTGAAGTTAACCAATCAAATTTTCCCCCTTTTTTAACCTGTGTTCCATCTTTAGTAACCATGTAACCTCAAGTTTCCAAAATATTCTATAGAAACCCCAAATAAAAAAATAATGGTGCTTTGAAATACCCAAGATATATGTTTATGACCCAGAAATGATTTACTGCAATGAAATGTAGGATCAATTACCTACAACTGTCAAATTCAAGGGAATATTTTTTTTCGACCTATTTTCGTATGCAACCGGATGTGACGTACTATGATTTGGTGGTATTACACCTAAAGAAGAGTTTATTGTTAAATAAACTGAGTGTGACTTTTTTCCTTTGTAATACTGGTTATTTCAAGCATTCCTGTCAAGTTTTGTCATTATCAGTTCAATAGTTTGAGAAAATCTAGTAAAATGTAAGACGACATCTACAGCGATTCGAGCAAAATTTCTTCGAAAAATCGAAACCAAGCCGCATCAGGATAGAATATAGTGTGGACCAATAAATGATCAAATATTTATCTCATCTGCCTACAAACAGTTGCATATGATACAAAAGATGACTTTAGGATGATAAATACTACTAATGGACCTCTTTGTCTGCATTATAAGGTCTGTTTTGGTCCATTTATACCTCTCATTTCTTCAAAATTTCTACTTTTTAGGCCAATAAATAAAAATTTTGGGGTAACTTTCACTCATTTATGACAGAAATGTTATAATAAATGATTAATTGAAGTTTTCAAGCTGAATGAACTATCCTTATAAAAGTTTACTGTCTCCAAGGAGGTTTCAATAAGTACTTACGTAAAACTTAAATTTACGCCGCTTTTCAGAGAGGGACATAAAGAGCTTCTCTTTTGGTGAATAATTTGTTGTTACTGCTTTAAAAATAATTTCTTTACTTAAAACTATATATTTATTAAAGTATTTCTTAGGAAAAATTTTCTAGTATAGCAAAATGTAAGAAATAAGGAGAAAAAGCTCCCCAAAACTCTAAGTATGGCTTGTTCTGTCAACTAATATGCATGGTAAAGTCCTATTTCTCATAGAAATATTTCTCATATTTCTCATATTTCAAGAAAATTTTCTTATAAAATGTGTTTTGGAGACTCAATCCACTCAGAAAATTTCATTATTTGTAATATTTCACTTAAATAGCAAGAAATTTTTACACATGAAAGTACTCACAAGGTCAAAGGTGCACGTATAGCTTCCAATATTAGGTGTAATACCACCATTGATTTTCCTCTATTAGGCTTTGTTAAATTTGCGCTTTTCAAAAAATTGTGCAGAATGTATCTTTGTTTCAAATAAAGAAATACTTGGCATTAGTAAAGTTTTATCCTGTTCAGTACTATAGAAAAAATTTCACATAACATTGCATTGCATATACGAAAATAACCATCACTTGAAGTTAACGTAAAACTTAAATTTACGCCGCTTTCCAGAGAGGGACATAAAGAGCTTCTCTTTTGGTGAATAATTTGTTGTTACTGCTTTAAAAATAATTTCTTTACTTAAAACTATATATTTATTAAAGTATTTCTTAGGAAAAATTTTCTAGTATAGCAGAATGTAAGAAATAAGGAGAAAAAGCTCCCCAAAACTCTAAGTATGGCTTGTTCTGTCAACTAATATGCATGGTAAAGTCCTATTTCTCATAGAAATATTTCTCATATTTCTCATATTTCAAGAAAATTTTCTTATAAAATGTGTTTTGGAGACTCAATCCACTCAGAAAATTTCATTATTTGTAATATTTCACTTAAATAGCAAGAAATTTTTACACATGAAAGTACTCACAAGGTCAAAGGTGCACGTATAGCTTCCAATATTAGGTGTAATACCACCATTGATTTTCCTCTATTAGGCTTTGTTAAATTTGCGCTTTTCAAAAAAATTGTGCAGAATGTATCTTTGTTTCAAATAAAGAAATACTTGGCATTAGTAAAGTTTTATCCTGTTCAGTACTATAGAAAAAATTTCACATAACATTGCATTGCATAAGAAGAAAATAACCATCACTTGAAGTTAACCAATCAAATTTTCCCCCTTTTTTAACCTGTGTACAAGCTATTGAAACCCCAAATAAAAAAATAACTGTGCTTTGAAATACCCAAGATATATGTTTATGACCCAGAAATGTTTTACTGCAATGAGATGTAGGATCAATTACCTACAACTGTCAAATTCAAGGGAATATTTTTTTCGACCTATTTTCATAGGCAACCGGATGTGACGTACTATGATTTGGTGGTATTACACCTAAACAGTAAATTTTCAGAAAATGAGCATTTCAATATTTCATGTCTGCACAAAAGCGCTGACTACTGGGCTGGTGGCACCATGAGGAACGAAACATTCAGCAGCAGTTTATTAATAAATCCAATCATAATTTAGCACCTACTTAGAAAAAAAAACCACTGTCTAAGATGTAATAATATGAATTTATTTCTATATGCATTCACCTTCTCAAATTTATATGTATTCTTGATATTGTTTTTTTTTTAAATTATCATGCACTTGTCTTTTTATTTGTTAAAACAAGAATACATTTGGTGCATCATTGGTACAGAAATGAGTTTTGTTCTGTGATCTAGAATTATACACTAGCTAAACAATTAGCCCAATATATATATTTCCAGGCATAATGTGAAAGGTCTGGAACACTTTTTGAATAACAGTAAAATAAAATCTCAGAAATTGGTACAACTATATGCCCAGCCACTCGTAACAATAACAAAGAATCTATTAAATCGATGTTTATAGTGCATTTCATTTTGTAACTTTTGTAATCTGCAAAGAAATGACATATACACAAGTCAGTAATTTAAAAAAAAAACAAGAGATATTTATCCTGTCCGTCTCGATTCGATTTAAGTTCATACGATTCTTTATAAATTTTGCTTATGCTATCGTTTTTATCCGTCGAGTTGCTCATGTATAATTTATATGGAACGTCCCCTTCAAGTCATGTATGGTAATTAATATTCTTTAATGTCGGTTCTGTCAAAACGTCTAAGTTGAAAGGAGCATAACAAAAAAAAATACCTCATGGGACCAGAATATCCTACCCACGTGTACGATCTAATAATGTAGTAGGTTTCATGTGTATACATTAAACCATGCAATAATAGTTGGGATGACAAGGTCGGTTCTGTCAAAAATTCTTAGTTGAAAGGGACATAAGTAACAAAAACTCAATGAACCAAAAACTTCTACCTACAAGCAAAACAACATATAAGAATCTAACAATGTACAAAATTTCGTGTATATGCGACAAATTTGTATGACGAGTTGCAAAGTACAAGTATCAAGTAACTAGTAAAGTTCTGAAAAGGACTAACATTTGTAAGGTATGCCCCATAACTCTGAATAAACTAAACAGAATAAAAATTACAAGTAAGTAATGTTTGCATGCCATGATCTTTTATACTACAAAGTTTAACGTGAATAAAAAAAATAACAAAGAAGTTTTTCTATATAGATAGAGGGACATACAGACGAACTTAAAGACTTAATCCTATAAACCCCAAAACTTTGTTTTCGGTGCCATAAGTTGATTCTACCAGTTCTGGTGATTATGAGATACTATAAGACAATATGGAGATCACTTTTTGTATTGTTAACTGTTTTATAAGATTGCTGTCTTTTGGTGTTTACCCTATCAATCATTTATACCATTATGCATTATCACAATTATAGCAGTTCGAAATAATTGACTTTGATATATGAAAAACCCTTTGATATTCTATGAAAACGTATTTAACTGAAAAACTGAAAACTCACTTATTTCTTTCCCATGCTCTGTAGTTATCTGAAAAAAAATTAGAAAGTAAGGAAAAGAAGGAACTCAGTGAATCCGTAGTGCTGTTTTAAGTTTAAAGTTGTATTTAGAAGGTTACTGTGATGGCTGGAAAATCATTTTGAAAAATGTATAACAAAATAAAAAACTGTTAAATGAAAAGACAAAATAAACCTAGATGTGTAGATACGATATGAATGTCTCCGAATATAAACAATGCAACAAAAATATAAGTGTTGAATAGATACTGTATGCCAAAGTTCAAGGATGTTTATATTTTTTCCAGGAATCAGTTTCTATCTGTCGATTGCAGATTTTCAAATAATCAGAAATTGAAAAAAAAAACATTGGACACATTGTAATTAAGGGGCCTATAGAGGGTCAGTTGTCGATTTCATTCAATCAACATGTTTGTAAATCTTCTGTTGCTAGTTATAATAGATGTTAGACATTTTTGCCTATCCGTTAAAGATACTAGGTCATAAAAACGTTTTGTGACAACAGCACAATTGACAAACAAATCCGGCTAACAACAACCAATGGCTACCACAGATAATTGAAATACTTTGATATGAATATCTGATATTGACTTTCGGTCAAGGTGAGCACAAGGGGGTTATATGAGAATCTGTAAGTCATCATTATACACTAATGTATCTAAAATTATATAAACATCAGCAGCCATAACGACCAAAAAGGACAATTGATTGATTTTAGTACAGAATGACGGAATAACTGAATGACATAATGATGGACACAGTTTACACTTTATGCCACGGTGGATAGCAATGGATAAGTGGACACGACTTAACAATAAACAACGAAAGCTTAATATCGAAAACAAAACATTACCCCACCAAACAGCATGTTTTTGTTTTTCTCGTTTGCTAAAACAGATTTAACGGTTCTGAATTTCAAGCATTCAAGTAATATCAAATTAATAGTTGGTAATAAGTCGTCAAGTCACTGTGGATTGTAAACTGATAAAATGCTAATATGAAAAACGAAATAAGAGGTACAGAAGAACATTATAGGAGTAAAATTTGACAAATATCACGGAATCCTGTAATGAGGTTCAGCAGAATAAGGTGATAAAAAGATAGACAAAAGGACCTATGTTTGACAAATCATGACCTATTTTTCTACCATGTTTTTACAGACTGTTACATTTTTGCCAACAATTTTGACATATCATGGCCATTGTTTTTTCATACATAAAACAAAAAATGCTGATTTGAAGATTTGAGTAGACATAAAATAAGACGGATTGACCTTTGGATTTTAGCATATCTACTAAAGCTTTTTGGGGTGTAATTAAAATACTATGGTTTCGTTAGTTTTGTAAATTATACATACACTTTCCTGTAGGTCGTTTTCTAAATCCTTTAATTTGATTTGCAATTTGGTGATAAATTGACTTTCTGTTTTTGTACACAAAGTTTGTACATATTCGCTGAGAACGTGCGTCTGTTGACTGATTTCCTTTACCACCTCATAATCAAGTTTTATTCCTCTCACAAAATAATCTCCTGTAAAAAGATCTTTATTTAAATATTCAAGCAAGGATTTCAATTAACTTTTAAAGATATATTAGGATAACTATATGAGTTCGTGTTCACCCCTTATAACCCCAATACAAACAAATCCGGACGTTGACGCGTTCAAATCGAAAACACCGTGCATCTCTCTAACGGCGATGAGTTTACTCTTTTACAGAAAGTCCAATATTTATTCTTAGGATATTTTGCTCCAAAATATTCTTTGTCATACTATTCGGTGCTTACTGCAAGGTTTTTCAAATATGTGATATTTTTATAGGCAAACTTTAAAAAACGCACGAACATGCAACTGATAAAAGCATATTTGCTTTTTTAAATATATAAAATTTTAAGTTTCCCGTGCCTCATATTTTATAAAACATACATTTTTTGAAAATATCATAGTTTTAAATTTAACAAACAAATTAAGATCATAGGTTTATGTATTATCTAGAAACAAAGAAATGCATGTTTAAACGCGTCTTGTTTTCATATTGTGAACGGTTTTGTATCATTACACTTTTTTACACTGTACGATTCGTTGCGACAATATTGTATTTTTCAAACTAATTTTGCATTTATTAAATATAAAAAGGAAGATGTGATATGATTGCCAATGAGACAACTCTCCACAAGAGACCAAAATGACACAGAAATTAACAACTTTAGGTCACCTTACGGCCTTCAACAATGAACAAAGTCCATACCGCATAGTCAGTTATAAAAGGACCCGAATGACAAATGTAAAACAATTCAAACGAGATAACTATCGGCCTATTTATGTACAAAAAAAGAACGAAAAACAAACATGTAACACATCAACAAAGGACACCCACTGAATAACAGGCCCCTGACTTGGGACAGGCACATACATACAGCATGTGGCGGGGTTAAACATGTTAGCGGGATGCAAACCCTCCCCTAACCTGGGACACTGGTGTAACAGTAAAACATAAGACCGAACTATAAAAATCAGCTGAAAAAGCATTAACTCATCACTGTCTGAGTACAGATATACGCGTCCGACTGCCAATTTTATAGCAATTTTTAAAACGTTTACCATACGACATTCAACAATGAGCAAATTAAACACCGTATAGGACCGCATAGGATAGAAACTCACAAAAAATGCTTAGCATTTACCTCACATAAACAAACTGTAGTTATCCCCCAATCCTCCCAGTTCATTCGAGAAGACAGCCTTCACTCGTAACCAACCTAGGTTTGCACATCCATACCTAGACTTGACAGCGAAATAAAGCGTAAACAATGATCTATTATTATAATAATTAGGCTGTCATTTTCGATATGGGTGACTCGCGGCTTAACGTCAGCCCAGTGTCCTATAACCATTTTTCACCCATTGCTAAATTTTCCGGGGGGAAGAACTGGATTTATCCAGTTTTTCCCAAAGGAAAAAAATGGCATGATCCCACTTTTCTACCACAGCGTGGCGGGGGGAAACCAGGATCAGGCGTATTTTCCCCTTAGTAACACGGGAAGCTAATTCCCCCCTTGTAACGTCAGTGGGAAATTAATTAATCAGTTAAGGATAGTTACCTTCTTTTAATTAGTTAAACGTTACAAAACAATTATCGTAGACACATTAACAGACCATTGAACATATTGACAGACTGATGGACCATTAGACTAGTTGACACACACACACACACAGACTGGTGGAACTGTAGACAGGCTGCTTGTGGACATCTTAACAGACTGGTGAATCTATAAACAGACTGGCGGACACAAAGACGGACTTGTGGACATGTCAAATGACTAGTTGGCACGTAGACAGAATGGTGAACATGTCGAATGACTGATTTGCATGTAGACAGAATGGTGAACATGTCGAATGACTGGTTGGCATGTAGACAGAATGGTGAACATGTCGAAGGACTAGTTGGCACATAGACAGAATGGTGAACATGTCTAATGACTAGTTGGCACGTAGACAGAATCATACCCAACTATATCAGTCCTATTCAGGACCGATAACTCTGTCGATAAATATTGTCGGGTATACAATGTTGTTGAAATCAGAGCAATTGTATTATATGTCTCTGTTGAAATGTATACAATAACAATTTTTTTTACACAAGTTTAACTTTATATCGATTTATTGAATGCCTGGATTTTGCTTAAAATATTGAATTAAAAAAAATAAATAATAAAATCATATTCAATGAAATCTCGTTTAATTTTTTACGAAATAATACAAAATCCATTTAAATTAAAATTTGAATCAAAATATTTCTTTTAAATAATCATAGAAACATAAATATTAGTTGATATTATCTTTTAAAGCAAAAATTATTTTTTTAAAGATTTTTTTTTATAATATTCATATTTTCTTCAAGTTTATTATGATACATACTTCTTCTGGTTTGACACGGGGAAGAGAAGATATTTATTTGTACAGTTATGAAAACTTTTGTATATCACAAAATTTAAACTCTTGTAATACATGTATACACAGGATGTTTAATGTCACCTGGTTGCTTTTGGTTTGCACGTCTACCTGACAATATATTGTTATGTAACATTACATCCAAAGTCAGAGTTCACCTGTTCGTCAAGTGATGGGATTTTGAAGGTATGGAATATTTATCTATAATAATTGTTGGGATTTTTTTCTCTCTTGGGACGTAAATATTTTTTTGTTCTAAAAGGAATGTATAAATATATTTATAAAGAAAGATAAATTATACAGAAAACAGGAAAAAACCTTTTAAAAAAAGAAGAGAAAAATTTTTATTATAAATTTTATTGTTAACTATTTTCTGGTAACAGTATATCCTGGATATCTGTCAAAATAAAATGTTCCCGTGTCACACTTAAAATAATATTTTTTTATCAAGAACTTTTGAAATCAATCATATCGAAATATCACCAAAGAAAATAACAGAAACATCAGAGATTCTACATGAAAAATTAAATTAAATCAAGGAAAGTCTTACTATACAAATCCTCGATTTGATGCAACATTTCCATATACATCATCCGCCATTTTGAAAAATCCCGAAATATTCACTTTTTTAAATCGATTTTTGACAGAAATTGCCCAGAAATTAAACTGTTTTAAATAGTATTTTTCGCCAGATATATGTTTGAATATACTTAATCGATTTGCAAAGTTTTATTTTTATTAACGGAATTTCTTTATTTGTTATACAAGTCGACATGGGTATCGGTACATTTAGCATTGAGTCAACGGAGAAATAACGAGAAAAAGTACATGTTTTTACGATTCTCCAGTGACAGAATTTAATCAAAAATTAAACTGTTAGGACCAACATTGTTTGATAGAAATATGTTTGAATATCAAGGATTGATTTGCAAAAGTTAGAAAACGGGTCAGGTTAATGAGAAAACTAAACTTTTATTGAAGCACCTATGCATTTTATATGGGGCAATATAATACAAAATGGCGGCTAGTATACGTCACAAAAGTCACGTGATGTCTGACTTAGTTGGATATGGGTGAACATGTCGAATGACTAGTTGGCACGTAGACAGAATAGTGAACATGTCGAATTACTGTTTGGCACGTAGAGTGAATGGTGAACATGTCGAATGACTAGTTGGCACGTAGACAGAATGGTGAACATGTCGAAAGACTGGTTGGCACGTAGAAAGAATGGTGAACATGTCGAATGACTGGTTGGCACGTAGACTGCAGACTAGTGAACATGTCGAATTACTAGTTGGCACGTAGACTGCAACATGTCGAATAAAATAATATATATGAATTTAAACAAAAGAATGTTTCATCAGAGGATCAGGATATTCTAACTTGATGGAGGCATTCGATTGTGGATTAATTGTGGTAGCTATTCACGGAACCAAGAAAAGACACGTATAAGTCAATAAACATGATATAAAATAAGAGGATGAGGTATAATTGCAAATGAGATATCTGTTTATTACAAGCTATAGCTACTGGTAAAAAAGCTCCCGTAAAAATAAACGTTATCAAGGATCGGGGTGTGACTTGTTTTCTGAAAGACAGAGAAAACACAAACTCCTTTAACATGAATTTTCTCATAATAATGAGTAGTGTCACCCTCCAGGAACTTTTTAATATTCCTAATTGTAACTCCCGACGAATGAACGACACAGTTTTTTTTTAGTGAGAACAACATTTTTTCAAACCACATTTCTATCTTCAATATAAAAATAAGGAGATGTGATATGATTGCCAATGAGACAACTATCCACCAAAGTTAAAATGAAGTGGATGTAAGCAATTTGGTGGGGTTTGTGTTGCTTAGTCTTTAGTTTTCTATGTTGTGTCATCTGTACTACTATTTGTCTGTTTGTCTTTTTATTTTTGGCCGTGGCGTTGTCAGTTTGTTTTCGATCTATGAGTTTGACTGTCCCTCTGGTATCTTTCATCCCTCTTTTATAGTCGGCTATTAAAGATCCCGTCATGAAAAATATGAAACAATAAATTTAGAAAACTGACGGCCTAAGTTGTAACAAAACAATTTACGAACATTATATATGACAGACATGAACCAACAATAACCACTGAACTACGGGCTCTTGACTTGTAACAGGTACATTGGGACTGGCGGGGTTAAACATGTTTGTGTGCGCTCAGTTCTCTCCAAAACTGGGACTGGTGTTACAGTACATCACAAGACCAAACTATAAAAAAATCGGTTGAATTATCAGGTCATCGTTTAATACTATCATGGACGATATCAGACCAGGCGCGGATCCAGCTTTTCCGAAAAAAGAGAGAGCTTAACCACGGAACACACTGGAACGTTCACAAAATAAACATAAATCGAAAACCAATGGAGTTTCAACCACCAGAACACCCTCTCCCAGTATACCGGATGCGCTAATGCAGACTGCATCCATTAAAACAAAACCTTCAAACATCAGGAACACTTTCAAATGTGTAATTGAGGTTTAAATAAAAAATTTGATAACAATACCTAATAACTGTAATCAAATCGTAACATAAAAAGGAGAAAAAA